CTTTGGAGTTGCTCTTGGTTAGGCGTGACCTCCAGTTACTTCCTAAGGCATTCCCTCCCTGGAACCCCAGTGACTTGGGACTGCACCTCACCGACAAGACCCCAGGGGGGCAGAGAGCAGCCAGGGAGGCAGAGACTGACAGAAGAGCGGAGAGGGAGGAGTGGGGCGAGCACGAAGGAAGGGAGGTGGGCAGGGAGAGGCCAGGGAGGAAGAACTTGGGCCGGGGCAGCCCCCAGCTGCGTGTCAGGATCCTGTCCCCTGTTGCACCTGCCTCTACTGCCACCTCCTCTTCGCTCCTCACCTCAGGCAACAGGACTTGAGCAACCAGTTGTTTCAGTCCTATTGTCACTTTGGTCATTTGAATGTCAAAATCCATGACACAGGGCTTTCTAAAATGTATGTTTTCAGCAACTGCTGGGAGGCGGGCAGGGGACTGAGGTGGGGTTTCTGGAGTTTATTTCAGAGCAGGGTTGTGTCAGGGTTGTGCAAGATTGCCTCACCGGGCTGGCGAAAGCTGAAGCAAATCTTGGGGAACAGCGCAAAATTATCCTCTTTGTCCTCTAGAGCAGGGGTGCCAAACTCATTTTCACGGGGGGGGGGCACATCAGCCTCACGGTTGGTTGCCTTCAAAGGGCTGAAATAATTCTAGGACTGTATAAATGTAACTACTCCTTAACTGCTAAGGAGCTGAAATTACATTCAGCCCTTTGATGGCAACCTTGAGGCTGACATGGCCCCCGGTGAACATGAGTCTGACACCCCTGTTCTGGGGGCTGCGGGGCTGCCTGCCCAGGTGAGACGGGGCCTGGGCACTTGAGATCCTGGCTGAAGTCATCTTCTTAGAGAAGCGACCCTGGCAATGGCGGCAGCCTCTCCTAGCCTTGTGCCGCTGGCCTCAGTCCCACCCCAAATTCACATCCCACAGGGACAATTTCTTAAAATACAATTATGATTATATCATTCCTTCGCTAGAACCTTCGCTGCTCCTGCCCTCCGTTCTCCTGCTGAAAGTGTGAGCGCGATGGCCCAGCGTCTGCCACGCTCTCCTCTCTCCCTTCCTCCTCCCTTTGAACCCAGGGCTCCTCACTGCTGCCCAAACCCCACCTTCACCCATGTCCGGGCCTTTACACGCAGGCTCTCCTCTGTCTCAGGCACCCGCACGTTTCTCCGGGACCCCTGCCACTGCTGGGCTTGATGCCACTCTAAGCCTTGTCTGCCACGGCGACAGCCTGGCTGGAGTCAGCCGTCCCACGTCAGAGTCTTACAGAACTTTTTGCCTTGCTGGCCTAGCACTTTCTGTATTGGAATTATTTGAGGAGCTGTCTTGCCTTCCCTGCAGTCCTGGGAGTGCCTTAATGACAGGGTGAAGCCTTGTTTTGCATGGGGGCCCCTCAGAGCATTATAGTGTCTGACATACAGTGAGTCCACAATGAGTGTCTGCTGACAGGTGAGTGATGTGATCACTCATCCCCACCCCTGATTCCCGGAGCATCTCGCATCACCCAGGCCTTGGGGCACAGTTAGAGAATCGTTAAGTATCTGGGCAGAGTCTGGCAGCTTGGTCTGCCACTGCTGCTTCCTCATCCTCTTGACAGCCGTCCAGAAGTTCAGGCTCCACAGCTAAGGACAGCAGGTGACCTCCGATGACAGGTTCGCTGCTCTTCGGTGACTGTGGTGCCGGGGAAACCCCGAAGTTCTTATTTTCCAGAAAGACACACTAATCATAGAAGTAGTCACCAATTCTGACTTGGGGTGGAAATCTTAACCTTGACATTGACGCCCTTGTTCCCTCTCAGAGGGAAGAAGCCAGCTCTCCTCTTCTCAACAGAATCAGGCTTTTTTGTTTGTTTGTTTGTTTTGTTTTAATGGAAGGGGCAAACTCATCTCGACCAGTTCTCTTAAACATGTTTAAAGGAAATTCCACAGGGCTTTGTAAAGCACCTTGCTGTCGGGCCCTCCCCTGGGTCTAGAACATTCTCCTACTCCCAGAACAAGCTAGCAGAGCAATAAGGCAAAGGAAGAATGTTTGGCTTCTAGAAGCGCTGTCTCCTGCCACCCTGCTGTTCCACCCTCTCCCAGCCTTTAGGTTGCATGTGGACATGTCCCTGATGCCCAAAGCTGTCCTCATCTCACCCTCCAGCTCCATCAGGTCCTAGGACCACCCAGCCTTCACCCACCTGCCCGGACAGCTTGCTCCCTGTTGGCACCAGGGGACGTGTGGCGAATCAGCCACAGTCCCTGCCTTCAGGGCCATGTCAGACTTATTGCTAAGGGTTTCCAATCCCACATCAGAGATGCAAAGGGAGAAGTATCCAAGAGTTCGATGGGCCTGGCAGAGGAAGTCTCTATATACTTGAGGAAAGTGAGTGGTCAGGGAAGTCTTCATGGAGGCAGTGACGCCAAGACCCCAGGGTGGGGAGGACACTCCTGGTGCAAAGGTGCAGAAGCCAGAGAAAGGCTGGATACCATTTAGGGAAATGTTTCCAAGAAGTAGGTAGGTCTCTGCATGCATGAAAATGGTTAGGTTTTTCTGTGTTCCCTTGCATGTGGAGGGAAACTAGCATTAATGCCCCGCAGGCCCAAGGAGACGGATTCTGGCTCTGTGACCTGGGAGACCTTCTAAGTGCCAGTGACAGAGGAGCAAGGTCCCTTTCCCAGAGGGGTGCAGGCAGGGCCCTGGCTACCACTGGGCATGGATGTCGGGGGGAATCACTCAAGTGTGCGGCTAAGGCAGGATGGGTTAAATCAACAATGTGCAAACATTTTTTCAAGACAAATCTCTTTTTTAAAAAAATATTTTATTTATTTATCTTTAGAGGGGAAGGGAAGGAGAGAGGGAGAGAAATATCAATGTATGGTTGCCTCTCACGTGTCCCCTGCTGGGAACTGGTCTGCAACCCAGGCATGTGCCCCGACTGGGAATTGAACCATGATTCTTTGGTTCCTAGGCCCACGCTCAATCCACTGAGCTACACCAGCCAGGGCAAGACAAATCTCTTTATTTAAATGGAAGCTTCTGGGGTACAACAGGTGGAGGTTGGCATGACTGAACAAACCTGGGGAGGGGGCTTCAGACTCCATCACCTTGCTGCCCCCTACCTGCCAGTTTGAGATTCCATAATGATACCCAGAAACTTTCCATCTGCTGAAGTCATTCCCACCCTCCTTTCTCCGCACCTGTTCCTGAGAAGAGAGCATGGAACATGTGAGAAATTCGAGAGAACACCCGGATAGTCGAGATTTGTTGGGAACCTGCCATGAATCAGCCACTACTCCAGGTGCTGGGAGTCAGGCGGAGAATGAGGCAGATGGCACGAACGGGGAGTTCACAGACCAGTTCGGGGCAGAGTCACAAATGTAATCACGGCACATTCCCCTGCCCTCTCTTCCCCTGCCTCCTTTCCCATCCCTCTTCTCTCCTCTCCTGCCCCTGACCCTACTCCACTTTACCTGAAGCATGGAGACCTGGCAAACCACCGACAGAGCCCAGGCCTCCCAACTCCCAGGCGGTTGTCTTTCCCCTGCAGAGATGCCCTCAGAAGGGGTGGCCCCATAGGGACATGAGAGCAATTGAACAGGGCCGTCAGAAATGAGTGTGGCCAGATGTCAGGTCCCCAGGTTAGGCAGGGAAGGCACTGGGGCATCCTAAGCTCTCTTCCCCAGGGCTCTCCAAGCTCACAGCCTGAAGTTCCTGGACAGGCCCTCTGCCCTGCAGTGGGGGCCCTCCTAGTTGTGTGCTCACAGCAGAGGCCCTGGGCCATGAGAGCTGGGTCGCCCTGTCTGTGGCAGGCAGACCCAGCCAGAGAGCACCTGCAGCGCCCTTCCTTGCCCGCAGCACGCCGGCTGGGGAGGCAGCTGGGAGGTGCGGCTGCAGCAGCGTGTTCTGAGGCCCTTTCCTCTCCGCACTGTCTTGGCCGACTGCGCCACTGCAGGGCTTTGGGCTGCCCCTTCCCCACTCTGTGTCGCGCTTTATTTAATCACTGGTAACGTGAGGGATAGAGGACTGTCAGCCTTTCTCCAGCTCCTCCAAATCCTAATTCTGTTGGTCTTTTCTCTGTGAAAGGACAGGGCAGGAACAGCCCCCTTGATTTGGGCCTTGGTCTTCGGAAGGCCTGCCCCAGCCTGGTGATGCTCTCAGGACAGGGGGCAGAAAGAGAGGGCAGAGAAATCTCAGGGATGTCTCTGCAGTGAGCGACAGGGTCTGGAGACTGCTGGAGGGCAGAAGCTGGGAGCCAGGCCCAACAAGGTTTGCAGAGAGAAGCAGGTTCCCCTGCTGGCCTGAGCAATCACCTCCTGAAGGCACCTTGGTCACCTCAGTGAGGTCAGCTTACCCTCAGGCTCAGAGCCAGAATCTTCAGGCCTGGAAGGCTCTCTGGACCCAGAGTCCAACCTCCTCATGGGGCTGGTGGGTGTGGGCTGGACTCCCTGAGTTCCACCCGTGCGCACACCTGCACAAGTGTCCATGGGGAGGAGGAGAGACACCTCATTTAGGAGACACCAGCTGTTCCCGTGGATTCAGAACTTCATTTGTGGATAAACACACCCCATCTGTCCTTCTTTTCAAGGCCTGAGCTCCAATATCCCCCCTCAGACATGGTCTGTCTAGTATGTTCCAGAGGAATCAGGCTCTATTTGGAGAGAGATGGCTGTGTGAACAGCATTGGATGAGGAGGGGGTTGTGGGAGGGTGGTGGCTGGCATGTCGAGGGGATGGGATACTCCCCCTTTTACTTTCTGTGGTGACAAGGGCCACTCTGACAGGCTGAACAGGGAGGTCCTGAGCTGGGCTGGCATGTCTGGGACCTGAGCAGTAGGGCCCAAGGTCAGAGGCAAGGAAATGGTCGGGGAGGTAAGCCCAAGGGGCTCAGAACAGAACAACATCATTGAGGCTTCTCATCTTGTTTCTGTGAACAAAGGGGCTTAGCCCCAGTTAAGGGGCATGGGGTCTAACCCAGACACCTGGGAGGGACAGGTTGGGGGCGGAAGAAGCACGCACAGCACTGGCTTGGAGGAACACTTTATTTCATCCCAGCCCCCAGCCCTGCCGCTAAGGTGGTGAGGCACACAGCTCTGGTGCCTTCATTCAGGGGCAGGGTGGCCTGGCCTCCTGATTAGTGGTTGTGGCCACCCTGGCCTTGGCAGGAATCTTGGCTTCGCCCGAAGCCTGGCCCGTGGTGGTGGTGATCCCCTTTGGGGTTGTTATTCTTGTGCATCTCCTCGTGGGCTGCCTCCGTCAGCTTGGCCACCAGCATGGCGAACTCCTCGAAGCTCAGCTGCTTATCTCCATTCGTGTCCAGGTCCTCCAAGATATCTTCTATGGCTTTCTCATCCCTCCCCTCCTTCTGTAGGTTGAGAGACAGGATGGTTAGGGCTGCCTGTGGCCAGGGCTGGGGATGGGTAGCACAGCAAAGGACCCCATGGCAAAGGCACAGAAACCTGGCTCCTGGGCCTCAATCCCAAAATTGGAAATGAGTGTCGACGGGGTGCCACTCACTTTCCAATTACTGCGCACACCACTGGGGTCTGCCTCAGAGCCAGTCTTGTCCCACCCTCCGCTCCAGTCCACTGCGGCCCCTCCTTTCCTTGCCTCTTCCTTCCCTCTCACGGTTACCAGGTTACAAATTAGTGACGCTCATTCAACCTGTGTAACGGGAAGCGCGCGGAGGAAAAGAGGGCCCTCGAGATCTCGTGCAGGGACGGAGAGCAGTGAGTTCAGGCGGATTCCCGCAGCGCCACTTGCTGGCTAAGTCCCCTCTGGAGCCTGCGGGTGCCCAGCTCCTCTCCCAGGCCCTCCCCAACGCTGCGCTTCCGCACCATCTATTTTTTGCTGCACTTTGCTGTCACCCTGGGGAAGACCAGTCGTCACTCCTGGGGAGCCCACTGGCCAGGTCCCAGCTTTCCCTCCTGGCTTGTCACTCTGCTTCTGGCAGAGGGGGCGGGGTGGGGGATGGAACAGGCTCAGGCCTCTCACAGAGGAAGCCTGGCCAGTACTACCCCTCATAGTGGACCCTGACCCAGCGTCCTGCTTGCTGAGTGAGGTCCGGCCATTGGAGAGCTGTCAGCGTCCCTGATACCACCTTCTGCTGCGGCCCTCCAGCCCACTGAGGTGGGGGCGGCTCCAGGGAAGGCTGGCCACCTACCCCAGGACTCTGGCCCAGGTGTGGAGCCGAGACTGGGAGCCAGGTGCCCAGCCTTCTTGGTCCAGGGCTCTGTTCCCCTAAAGCTCCCAAATTTGTGAAGAAACCAAAAGTATCTGGTGGAACAAATCCTCCTTTTCCTTAGAACTGCTGAGCCCTTTCGGGTCGGCAGAGGCGGGCACGTCCAGGCTGGGCAGCGTTTCCTAGTTGCCGTTTTTCTGTTCCCTGCCAGAGACCCTTCCGATCAGACAGCACCCTCAGGTCTCTGCTCACTGCGGCTGAGCTCGGTCTCCTCGGCTTCTGCCAAGGCTCGTTCGTCCGCAGGTGTTCCCCCCCTTGGCTTCTAGGTCTCAGCTCAAATTTCACCATCTCAAAGGGGCCCTTCTTGTCCACTGAACTAGTCATCTCTCACCTGTCCAGCCCAACTCACCTACAGCATCTCTCACTCTCTTGCAGGCTCAAACTGACATTGGATTTATCTGAGCCCCTTATCAGTCAGCACCTTTGCTGTGTGTCGCTCCCCTTGGGACTCGGGTCCCTGTTCAGCACCACAGGCCCCTGCCCGGGGCAGGGCTGGCACACAGCCCAGGGTCACTCACTTTCTTGGCTCTGCTGGTGCCAGCTAAGCTGGAGCGCCTATAGCGCCAGGCTGCCACTGCCTCTGCTGGCTGGGCCGAAGGCTCACGCTTTCCCCTTGGCCGCTGCAGACCACACCCCACCCTCCACCCTTGGCCCAGGCCATTGCTAGGCCGGGTCAGGCCACTGGGAGTCCAGCCCTACCTTGAGGAAGGTGGGCAGTTCTTTTTTCACCATCTCTTTGAATTCACTCTGGTTCAGCCTGTCGAGGTGTTCCTGCTGCCTGGAGTACTGGTGGAAAACTTTGATGACGTGGTCGAGGCTGCATTCCAATAGCGAGGGCATTTTGTCCTGTCTTCCTGTGCTCTGAGCAGAGGAGAAGCGGGGGTGCTTAGAAAAACCAGTGTCACACTTTCTCCACACCTCCCACCGGCTGTTCACAGAAACGAAGGGGGAAACAAGAAAACGAACTTGATTTTTATTGAACTGGGAGACAACCCTGTCCCACATGAGGGAGACATTACTTTTAGAGTATTTGGAGAATGTCAGAAAGCAGAGCACTTGAGAACAGGAGGCTTCAGCAGAACAGGACCTAACGAAATGGGAGAGAAGCTTTACAGCGAGTGAGTTAGTCAAGGAGGGCTTCCAGGAGGAGGGTTTGAAAGGAAGATTGGTAGAAGGGGAAAAGAAAGACTCCGCAGGCAGGCCCCTGTCAGGGAGGCTGGCAGCTGACTTACCTAAGCTGAGGCGTCAGAGAGAGGAGTTTGACAGCGTCCTGTGGGCCCTGCATTTATAGGCCTCCCCTGGCGGGGACACTTCCCTCTAGTGGGAAGATTGCTTCACCGGTGATTGGTGTGGTAACTTGGAGCTGGGCTGCCAGGAAGGGGCCTGGGGCGGAGCAGGAAATGTTCACATAGATCCTTTTGCCTTTTTGTGAAATTCCCAGTCTCGGGTCAGGAGCTGGTTGGGGAGGAAGTTGCTCGGTTAGTTCACTTCTCCACCCCACCCGCCTGCCCTCACTGAGCAAGCTGCCTCTCCTCTGGCACCCCTCCCTCCCCTCTCCCCTCCTTGAGTTTGTACCTTCCTACCTGTGATAGCCAGTGGCTGCTGGTGGGTTGAGGACCACTGGGGGTGGTGGGCCGACCCACTCTGCCTACCCCACACGAGCAGCCCAGCACTGAGGGCTGAGCCTTCCCCTTCCTGGCTTTGTGATAAGTGCTCTGTGGAGGGTGAGGGGTTGGAGTGGGGTTTTTGGATTCTCAGCGGGTGAACTTTGGTTAGAAGGGTGGGGGTGGGTCGGGGGTGGGGGGGTAAGGTTGTTAACCCCCTTGTATGACAATGTCACATAGCTGGTTGGTGACACAGCAAGAACTAGGCTCTGGGCATCCTGCTTCCTGGCTAAGGGTGATTGGATCACCCCTCCCTCTTGTCGAAAGGAGAGACCCTTGGGGCTTAAGTGTTTCTAGAGGCTGTCAGTGTGAATGCTTCTAAATCCTCCTAGTGGGAACCACACCCTTAAGGAGCTTATAACACACAGACAAACGTTTTTATGTAGCCTCTTAGGCAAAACCTGCCCCTCCCGCTGCAAGGCTGCAAACCTCCCGTAGCTCCCATCTCAGCACAGCACTCGCAGTGTCCAGAGTGGCCACGCCTGGCCCGGTCAGCCTCCTGCCCCCTCCCCTGGAGTCCGTGGTGCCCACTGGGCACCTCCAGGCCTTTCTTTGGTGCTTTCAGCCCAGGCGTGCCCCTCCCACATGTCGGAGTGCGGTCCTCCCTACCCCACAGGGCTCAGTTCAAAGCTACCTCCTCCAGGAAGCCTGCTTTGTTTTTCCCAGTGGGAAACAGTCTCTTTCCTGGGACATTTACTCCCACATCACCTCTGGCTCTCAACACTCCCTTTCCTGGAGTGAAGTTATTTACATATTTTGTTTCTGTCTGGTCATCGCCTGTGGCTCCTCAGGCGAAGTGAGTGTTCATGTTCATGTGCTCATGTGTTGCAGGCTTGGCACAGGGAGACCTCATATTTGCTGGAGGACCTTGCCCTTACCGGCACCCTCACCCCTCACCCAGGAGGTGTGTCTGGGACCTTCCCCGACCCTTGCTTCCCCCAGCCGCCCCCTTCCCTCAGGGAAGGTGTCCTCCTCTTCCAACTCTACCAGCCCCTTTGCCCAGTTGTCAGGAAGCCTTGTCTCACTGCCCCAGGCCCTCCTGCTAGTACTGCCCTCTGAAAGCCCAGGGCAGCCTGTGGGCTACCCCTTGGACCTGAGCACGTTCTGTCTTACACTGCTGACCTGACACATGGAATAGTTGTTTAGAATTCAGACGGGCTGTGTGACTTCAGGCAATTTACTTAACATCTCTGAGCTTCATTTTCTTTATCAACAAAAGAGGATAATCACAGGACCTACCTTGAGAATGGAATCAGTACAGTAAAGCTGGCAGAGCTCACTAGTTAGTTATTATCTATTTTTTAAAATTTATTCACAAAAATATTGGTTGAGCACCAGACACTAGTGCCTGATGCTGGGGAACTTGGTGAGTGAGTTGCAATACACGAGGGAGGCATAATCTTGTATTCTGAATCCTTAACCACATTTAAACACTTGGGAGCTAAGGACAGGACCTAGCACAGTGCTGAGTGCACAAAGGTATTTAAATCAATGCTTGCTGAATGCATGCTTGAATGAAAGAGTAAATCGTCTATGAACAGTGCCGGTCAGGCCTGGGAGCACGTGAATGGAAACTTCAGGTGCGTTCCCTCAGGGGGTTGCCCTCCATTGTTTGAGCTGATGGAGGAAGCACACACTGCAGCAAGGAGTCCTCTCTCTCTCCAGGCTATTTGGAAATCCCTGCTGTTTCTGGCAATCGGGCTGGCGGTACCCGGGCGCCTCTCCTCCGTGGGCCCACAGCGCCCTCTGCTGTCTCCATTGAAGCCCGTTTCACTCTGGACCAGGGACCTAGACAACTTTCAGGACAGGAACGACATACCTAGTAAACTGGTGAGGCTGGCTGGGCCTGAGAACGTCAACAGCACCACCAATAGGGCAACTGTGGCAACTGACGTGGGGCCTCAGGGTTGGGGACACTAGGGAGTGGTGGAGACTGTGGTGAGTGGGAGCCTTCCTAACTTGAAGGGACAGTGGTCCACAGCCTCAGGCCACAGTGGCCACGTGGGAAAGTGGACTAGGTATTGTTGGTCCTACTGAAGGTCCAGGAAATCTGAATCTTATGTGAAAACTCCTGCTTATAAAATTTGTCAACTGGTTTTAAATGAAAATGAAGACATTAACAATGAAGCATGGTGTATGGCAAACAAAACGTGACTTCAGGCAGGCGGTGCGTAGCCTCTGCCTCAGAGGTCCCGTCCTCCCTGCCCTGCTGCCTGACTCACCTCTGCAGTCCTAGGACCGGGCCTGGCTTGCTGGGCACTGGATGAACGTTAATTGAATGAACAAATGCAGGAGTGCACGACTACGTGGAGACGTGAGTGAGCATGAAAAGAACACCCATCTGTGGCCCTGTGACTTTCTGAAGGGCCATCGGCTTGACCATCTAGTGTTAATTCAGGATGAAAGTGAAATGAGGGTTAGGTGGGGGGAGAAGAGGAGCAGCAGCTGGTGGGAGGGAGCAGCTGGACAGGGCTTTCAAACAGATGGAATCCCCCTCTTGGCAGTGGATTCCCTTGTGTCCAAAGGCCACACCAGGTCCCATGGTTCCAGATTAGCCCAGACTCGGGGGGGGGGGGCAGGGGCGGGGCTGAGCTGTGGAGAGCCTGACCCAGGCAGCCTACTCTTGGCTCCATCAAGAGGTGTCCCACCCACCACCCAGCTTTCTCACTGCTGCCCAAGGCCAGAGGTTGGAATGAGGGGTGGTAGGAAGTGGGGTTTTCTCCTTGGAGAAACTCAGAGCCTCCTGCTCTGAGGACATACATTGGGGCAATATTCCTGGTTCTGGACAGTAACTCTAGAGCAGGGGTGTCAAACTCATTTTCACCAGGGCCACATCAGCGTCGCGGTTGCCTTCAAAGGGCCAAATGTAATTTTAGGACCGTATAAATGTAACTACTCCTTAACAGTGCACTGAGAGCTCGGCCCTGCCACCGGGTAGAAACAAGGTGCTGGGCTGGATTAAACAAGGTGCAGGGCCGGATTCGGCCCGTGGGCCTTGTGTTTGCCACCTGTGCTCCAGAGGCAGCCACTGGGAGAAAAGAGCATGGTTTTCTTCGCTGTGCTAAAAACAAACCAGCACACAGGTGAGCAGGCAGAGCTCCTGTAGTCCCAGCCCAGGCGTTTTGCCCCTTCCTTCCCTCAATGTTGTCCTTTAAGAAATTTTGCCTCCTCTAAGGCGTCCACATTATACCAGGTGCTATAACAGGGGTAGCACCAGGCACACTGTGGGGCTTCCCCGGGCTCTGCATCCTTCGGCCCACGGGAGGGACGCTGGTTGGGAGTTTGCAGGGGACAGAGGGCCTGAGAGCTGGGTTCCAGTCCTAGCCCTGCCAGACTTGCTGGGCGGGCTTTGGACGTTCTTTGTGTGCCCGGGCTTCCATTTTCTTATCCATGGTGTGAGGAGGTACAGTCAGCTGGCCTTTAGGTCCCATCTAGCTCTTACTTCAGGTTTTAATGGACTCTTGGTGGGCTCACGGTTTACCTGCTGCTTCCCCAGCAGGGCAATTCAGGTGTCCCCTCCCCACATGGCAGCTGGAGCCCAGGGCCCAGCCCTTTCCAGGCTGTACAACCTGCTGACTCTCCTGAAACCCCTCCCTTCCTCCTCGCTGCCCTCCTTGCCCCTGTCCTGGCTCAGGCAGGCCTCCCACATGTCCTTCCATGGAGATTTCTGGATTCAGACTCTTGACCACAGGTCGGCTGACATCTCATGTCGCTGCATGGTTCACTCTGTGTCTCTGGTGCATGAAAGTGTCTCAGAGAAGTTATTCACAGGTACCGTCAGACCACTGTCTTGCACCTTTGGGCTCGGTCCATACCAAGCCTTGACTGACCCCTTGCATCCTCCTGGGCATCGCCGATGGGCTGTCCTGAGGTCCCAAGACACCCTGCTCACAGCAGACCCATTCCCTACTGTGACACCCACAGTGAGGCCCCTCCAGTAACCCGACTTCTTAGACCCCCGGCCTGTGGCATTCCCGAGTCTGAACACCTGCCCCACACGGCCAACTTGCTGTCTTCTCATGACCCTTGTGATTTCTGGGAAGCCTGACCTTCCAGACAAAAATGACCTGGTGTTCCCTTTTCTGTTTCCTGGCTTCTGTTTCCCGATCCTTCTCTTCTCCTATGTCTTGCAGAAGTTAGCTTTTGTCCTTCCAGAAATTTCTGGTGAGTATCTCAGTATCTGCTGTTGGCTTCCTCTGCCTCTCAGGAATCACTTTGAAGTATCAGCCCTTTATAGAAAATGAAGGGCTTTCACATACATTATCGTGTTGGCATTTTAATTACTGGCCTTGGGTCCGTCTCAGATTAACTCCTTGAGAGTGGGGTTTCTTCTGTTTACTCAGCCGCAGATGATAAACTTTGCATACAAGAGACATCTGATAAACGTCTGCAGGTTAATATGTGACCGACTTTGTTTTGATGGAACCTATGCTTAGAAGATTGTTATTTCACATAATTAAGAAGTTGTGCAGCTTGGGAGAACGCAGAGGAAAAAAAGGAAGTGGAAGTTGTGATGGAGACGGGGAGATGGGGAAGAGTCAAGTGGGAGAGGCGGCTCTAGGATCATCAGGGTGCGTGCTGCCACCTTGTGGCCTACCTGCACCAGTACAGTTTGTGGCAATCCTTGGCTGGGGTTCTCAACCTTTTTCTTCTTAAGACCCTTTCACGCTTGAAAAATTATTGAGTATTTCAAAGAGCTTTGGTTTAGGTGGGTTACACTGATTAAAATGTTAAATACTTATTAATTCACCTAAAATAGTATTAGTAAACTCATTACATAGTAAGACATTTTAAATTTTTTAAATACAAAATAATTAATTTTTTCAAAAAAAGCTAGTAACAAGAGTGATATAAGGTAAAACATTTTCGCACTCCTCTTTAACATATGAATTTAAAATTAGATCATTGGATTCTCATATCTATTTCTACATTCAAAGTGTTGTATATGTGGTTTTGATTGAAGTTATGAAGAAAATCCACTTGAAAAATGGAGGAACATATGAACAATCTTTACAAATCATCATGGATATTACTTTCTAATTATTCATGTAAACTCGACGAGGGGGGGTTTCCTAAAGGTTAGTTGCAATGTGGAGTCTGAAACTATATCACCGGATCCTTGTACTTTGTTGCACTAGAATCCGTTCGTCTACCATGAAACTGAAAGGCTCTTTCACCACTTTGCAACTTCATATTTGGCCGTTTGGAAAACAGTGATTCATTGCACTGAGTTATTCACATCTTCCCAAAGCCGACGCGTTTTATTATTTAATATACAGATATACAACATAACATTTATTAATATCACCATTTATGTTCAGAAAAGTCTTCAAGTTTTGGGAAACTGTCAAACTTATGGCGGTAGACACAATATTCCAAAGTTCTATTTTTGCTTGAAAGCTCCAATTTTATTAGGCTAACAAATCCCATTGGTTGTTTTCCTTGAAGCGAAAGTCTGACTCTTTGTTTTGAAGGAAATGTTTGCCATGTATACCCCAGCATGAGTATCCAACCCACAATTTGGCTGTTCTTTGTTCTTTCAGGTAAAAACAGTGTTCCAGGGAAAAGTGGCCAGTTCAGCTCACCGCTCAATCACATGAGGCCTTTAATAAAATCAAGGTGTAAAACAATAAATAATTTTCACTGTTTCATCAAGAACATTCTTAAGTGAAACTTAAAAAAAATTCTCACCCAAGGATATTTTAATTGATTTTAGAAAGAGAGGAAGGGGGGAAAGAAGAAACTGAGACACATTGATTGGTTACCTTCTCGTACAGGCCCTGACCAGGGACTGAGCCCCGCAGGGTAGGCCTGTGCGCTGACCAGGGATTGAACTGCATCCTTTTGGTGATGGGACGACGCTCCAACCAACTGAGCCACACTGGCCAGGGCAAGCAAAAGTTTTTTCATTTTGAAAGAACGAGTTGTGAGGAACACATCGACTACTAGTGCAGTTCGGTGCCATCTCTTGGTTCTGGCTAAGACACTGGCAGTTTCACGTCCTGTTGTTTTCATGTTATCAGGGAGTGATACGTTATTCTGGAAATAGTTTTGACCTCATGGAGACCCTGCAAGATTTTGGGGACCCCGTATTTCCCCAAAATCCTGTCTTTGGATTTTGTCCAGGACCTGTCTTTGGTCCTGTCTTTGAGAGCCACTGCTATTGGCCACGATCACGTGGAGCACACTGCGTGCTGGCTTGCTTTTCTTTTTGCCTCCTTCTTTCCACACCTTTGAAGCGTGCTCTGCTCCGTCAGGCACTGGGAAGGAGATGGCCTTGGGAGTTGCCATCACCGGGGGTTTACAATTACACTATTACAATTTAAGATGAATTCTGTGCAGAAGAAGGGCTTCGAGGCCTGAGTAGTCACCCCTGTTCACAGAGGCGTCTGGAAGAGGCCAGGCTGAAGGTGTACCTTGGGCCCAGGTGGGGAAAGGAGCCACTCTTTCTGAGAGAGGTGAGAGGGGATGGGGAGGGGACCTCAGAAATTGGCAGGTCCTGTTAGGGTTTTAATCCTAAGGCAAAGAACCACACGGCACTCCTCCTCCCTCCTGATGCCCGGGGTCACCGTAGGCATTTGCTTCAGAGAGCCCCTTTGTCTATCAGTCCCCGAGATTTTGTTGCTCTACCAGCTCCCTCTTCTCTCTTAGGCAGCGCCAGCCTCTCCTCTGCCACCCAGCCTCTCCTCAGGCTTCCTGTTCCCCAAGCCCTTCTGCAGAGTGGAACCAGTCTCCTTAATTCCCTAACTTGATGTCAGGGAGGGGAGCCCACAGGCCTGCTCAGTGTGAGTTTTAATGCTAGTCAGGACTGGGAGAAAGCTAAGGCAGGCAAGACAGCAACTAACCAATGTCTGTGAGACGACGGGGTCTCTGCAGCTTGGGCCCCAGGCTAGCTCTTCGTCTCCTTCACCTCTGGCTCCAGGCCTGTCCCCACCTGCACCCTTGCCCGAGGACTAGTAACCCCCTGCTCTCCTGAACAGGCGCCCTCTGGCCTTTCTTTCCAGCCTGGGCCTGCTGGGGAGAACACTGGAGGAGGCCAGTGTGCTTTCAAAGACCCCGGAGACCCCTGAGACCCCGGGGCCGCCGGGCCTGAGGGTGGGACTGCAGTCCTGATAAGGGCATCTTTTCTGGATTGGAGTGTTCCCTCAGAAGGGTCCTGTCCGCAGTCTCAGCAGCTGTCCCACCCCCAGAAGGTGGGAGCCCCCGGTGGGTCCCAGTGGAGATATATGTCCTATTGACCCATGGAGAGCGTCATGTGGAGTTTCCTCTGTGAGGACTCAAGGGCCCTGTGAGACAGACTGCACCCCGTGGGACCAGTTAGGTGATGAGTGTAATGGCCTTGAGCTGGGGTGGGGGAGGGGCATGCCAGTCTCGGTTTGTAGGAGGCTCCCTGAGTGGTGACTGTGGGTGCTGAAGGTGGGTGTGGCAGGAGGGGGGATGATGGGCATGTAGGCTACAGGGTCAGATCTGGGCATAGCAGTTGCCTCCTGGAATACACCTTTCTGTTCCTTTGCTGCCACCCTGGACACCTCTCCCCCCGGCCCCCACTTAGTTTCCCATGGGGCAGGGTGCTGGCGAGGGGCTTCCACCCACAGCCTTCACACTCCTGGTGAAGATCTGTCTCCAGGACAGGAAGTTCCCAGTTGTGGGACGCGACTCCCAGGTCCCACGGGCACCCCATTTCGGCCAGGCTTCCTGAGGTCTGGGATGAGGAAGGAGCTCATGGCTCTTGGGCAATCTTGTCCTTTCCCAGGGAGGAGGCACCTGAGCTTATTCACGGGGCGGGTCCCTGCTCTCAACCCGAGTCTGGTTTCACCAAGTTCCCCTTGGTGCTGTGGAGGGAGCAGGCTCAGAGCCTCAGAACTCTGCCCTTCTCTCCAACTTTTATTAGGGATCCCGCTTTCCTCCTCTGTGAGAAGCCAGAGCCGGAGGCTTCATTCCTGGGAAAGAGTGCCCTCTAGTGCTGGGAGAGTGAAGGCCAGAGGAGGGAGCTGCTGGCCAAGGAGGGCAGGGCCGAAGCCAAGTCTGAAAGGGAGGAGCTGCCAGCCAATGAGGGGTGAGCTGCCTGTACCCTGACCTGCCCGGGATCCCCAGGTATTTCTGAGTGTGAATGGTTTTTCTTGGGAAGCCTTCTCTCAAAGAAGGGACTGGATTCCACTCGATGGAGAGCTAAGATCAGATTTCCTCTGCCCCAGAACTGGGACTGTTCCACTGCCTTCATCCCTCCCCCCTCCCCAGCTGGGAAGGTCTCTGCTCTAGGCCCACGCATGTGCGTTTGGATTTCTTGGTTCTCGTATTCCTGGGTCTTACGGCTCTCTTCTATAAGAATGGGGGTCGGTAATCCTGCATTGCAGGGTTTGTGTGAGGATTAGACAAGACTGCATGTGCAAGTATCCACACAGGCCCTGTACATAGTAGGGCCTCAGTGAAATGGAGTTGCCCAGGGTAACAGGATGAGGGTGTTTACCTATTCAGTGAGCAGCTTACCTTTCCTGGGGACCTCGAGAAGTCTGCCTGGGTGCTGGCCCTCAGGAGGCCCATGGTTGGTGGGAGCGGATGGGGTGCCCCGCAGCGGGAGGCGCTGGTCGCTGGTCGGAGGAGTGAGCAAGGTCAGGTCAACTGTCTGCACCTCTGCCAGGGCCGCCATCCACTCTCCCTGCCAGTGTCCCTGGACCGCGTGAGGATGCTGCCGTGGCTTCTTGTCTTCTCCACGCTGGGTCTCGGGGCCTGGGGTAAGTGCTCCATCAATGAATCAGAGAGAAACTGAGGGAGATCATCTTAAAGTCTCATTACAGGTTTCTTTAAATGCTGGCTCTCCCATATGGAGAAAGACCAGCTTTTCATCGAGAGCCCCAGAACTTGGAATCTCTAGACCTGGGTTCAAATCCTCGCCCTGCCTCTGGCAATGGTTTTAAACAAGTTATTCAGCTCTTTAAACCTTAATTTTACCACCTGAAAATTGAGATAATGTTATGGTCTCCTAAACTTCTTATGAGGATGATTTGAGATATTGTAATTCAGAGGAAGAACTTTGCCGCTGGGAGCAGTGATTCTATTTGTTATGTTAACCAGGAGGCTAACCTGTGACTGGGGTTCATGCTTGTCAGTGAGAGAAAGTCCCTGGGGTAGGGATGCCCATCCCCACGGTCCCTCACACAGGAGCAAGGGCATCGAAAATGCCCCCAGAACCAGGCCCCCAGGGACCGTCTTGGTTCCTGCAGGTTATTCTTCCACTTAGTCCCCCCATCGCTTCCCTTGGGTAAAATTCACACGGGGGAGGACACTGTGGCTTTGAAGTGCCTGGACACATTTCCAGCTGTTTTGTTTTCCAGCTGTGTGTGTAGATGTATCTCTTGAGGAAAGGGTATGTTTCCTACTCCCTGCCCTTGCCTGTGCATGTAACAGCTTCCTGGGGGATTACCCGGAGCTGGTGTTGGAGAAAACAGCACTAGTGCTTCTGTTGGAGGTGGTCCTCTGGTCAGCCCAGAGGGGTTCCTGGAGCGGATGGGGTCTGGGGAGGCAGAGGGAGCCTGGAGGAGCCTGAACCTGTGTGCCGAGGTGGCTGATACTGGGCCTCTTGAGGACCCAGGCGAAACGGAATGTTCCTTTGCAGGTGATTCTTCCTGGGATAAAACACAAGTCAAGAACTTGTCAGAGAGGCTCCAGGATCTGTTTGGCAACATCTCCCAGCTCACTGGCAAAGGCAGACTGGGTCTGTATGGTGAGCGGCTGGCATTGGGGTTCCTCATGTGACCAGATGTCTCTGAGATCAGCACAGAGGCTGAGATGGGTGGGGGCAGTGGGGCTGAGGCACAGAGAAGGGCACCGGCAAACCACCTGCACAGATTGCTTTGGCCCCTGGGGGGTGCAGTGGTGCCAGGAAGGGATAGGAACCAGGAAGGGGAGAGGCCAGGTCTGCACTGCAGCAGGGTCCTGCCTACCAGGTCCTGCCTGGAGGGAGCCCCCAGGCTGAGGAGAAAATATAGCCCCCTCAGGGAGTGCTCAGTCAGGACAAAAGACTCAGTCAGAGTCACAGAGAAAACGCTTGGAGAGCACAGTGTGCACAGCGGGCATTTGTGCACGTGAGGCCCAGAGGCTGCTCAAGACTTTCCCCAGGGTGAGCGGTGGGAAGCAGGTGCCTCCAGGGGCACAGCAGGGAGGGTGCTACCTGGGATGGGGAGCAAAGCATCCAGGCTTCTCTGTACAGGAGCAGACTCTGCATTGAGGGTGAATAGAGGTGACATGGGGTGTGCAGGTGAGAAGAGGAGGGCGTGCCTGCCGCTGAAGGTCTCTTCCTAGGCGCCTCCGCCGAGATGGGGCAGACACAGCCCCTGATGGCACCCCTGACCTGGGAGGGCTGATGTGGCAATGATGGGGCAAGGTGTGCTGAGTCACACCCCCTCCTACGGTTCCCCCCACAGATGTCTCCACCATGGTCTCTCGTAAGGAGTGGGGGGCAGGAGCTGTTGGCTGTAACTCCCCACTGACGATGCCGGTGGGTTTCCTCGTCACACACCACCTGCCCGGACTGGAGTGTCACGACCAGACCACCTGCAGTCAGAGGGTGCGGGAGCTGCAGGCCCATCACGTGCACAAGAACAGCTGGTGTGACGTGGCCTACAAGTAAGCGACTGGGCAGAGGCTCGGGATCAAAGATGCTCTTTACTCCTCTCACTTCCTGACTTACTAGGTTGAGGTTATATCTGGTTTATAATGAGTAAAAGATTTAAAAAAACCCTATAAACTTTCAAATCCTCTGAATTTCTATGTGGCTCTCGACTCAGAGATCTTCTAAAAGGAAGCAAGGAAGGTTAAGTAATGAGGGTACTTTCTAACGCCTCCAAACCGAGTGCACACAGCACATTGCAGGTTATGAGTGACCTCCATGCACAGGAGCGACTTGCTCCCGACAGCGGGTGAGGTTGGTAGGGCAAGTGTTGCCATCTCTGTGCTGTGGGCGAGGGGACCGAGGTAGGGAGGTTGATTCCTCAAAGTCGCACAGCTGTGTGACAGTTGGAGCCCAGTGTGGCCCAGAACTGTCTCTACCCCTTGTGTGTTCCACTACACCACATGTATGGGGCTTTCACCTTAGTGAGGCAGTCTCTTACCCTACTGGTCATTCTAGCAGACTTGAGTGGGGGCCAACGGTACATGGCCTCTGACTTCTGCTAGTTGAGGGCAGTTTCTTGTGCATGGCGCTGGTTTTATATCTGGAGCAGCCAGTGCATCTCTCTTCACCCAAGTCCTGCACGGTGAAGGGCAGCGAGTAATGCACCCCTGCAGGGCAGGGGTGGTGGGTGATTTCCTCAGCTCCCAGCCCTTCTGAGGACAATTCTAAGGTGCATGTACACGGTTCCTGGTAAGGTCACATGTCAGGGGTGGAGGGGACTGAGCCTCAGGTGGCCACTGTGAAGCCAGCCCGACTCCCACACTTTGTTGGGGTCCTTCCTTCCATCTCCTCCTTGCTCCCTCAATCTGGCTTCTGGGATCTCTTCCCAGATAAACCATCTGTGTCCACATTCCCTGTGTCCTGGGAAGTCTTTGTAAGACAGAACCCTGGCAGGGAGAAATCACATGGGCATCCTGTGTGGAGAATGCACAGAGAACATACATTTTGGAGGAAGGAGGAGAGGAAACATGGGGACCAAGAAGCATCCTCATGTGGTGTGTTTGGGTCTGTGTTAGCTCCAGATATTTTCTCCCACTGAGTATGACGAACCCCAGGTGTCTGAACAAGGGGGTGGGGTGGGGTGGGGAGCATGGGAGTGGGTCCTCCTGAGTTGTAAGGACGAGTGTAAATGACTTCTCCTAGCCATTGTCGGGGACGAGTCCATGCAAATTTCCTTTAGTGGCCATGGCCCCAGCCCTCCTTCTTCGGAGGCTGGGTAGATGGTTTCTCTGCAAGGATGTGCCACAGAGCCAACCTCTGAGACCATGCTTCCATGCTTCACAGCTTCCTGGTTGGAGACGATGGCAGGGTGTATGAAGGTGTCGGCTGGGGCATGCAAGGCGTGCACACACAGGGCTATAACAACATCTCCCTGGGTTTTGTCTTCTTCGGCACAAAGGAAGGTAACAGTCATCCCAGCTGCCCTTCTCCAAAGAGTTCTCTGCTTCTGTCTCAACACTCAGGTGTCTTCTCCTCCCTCTCACACTTCCTCGATGACCCACTCTCTCCTGGACTTCTCCTCCTCTTGACTTCTGTGGCAGGACATGCTGGTGGTCCTCCTCCTGGCCTGGCTGCCTTCTCCAGAGCAGGTCCTCTTCCTCTGGCCTCTCACGAGGAGGTGTCCAACCTTCTGTCTGCAGCCTTGCTCTCCTCCTGCTCCCGTCCAGGAAGGATCTGGGCCTCAGCTTTCACTTCTGTGTCAATGACAGTCACACCTTCCTCTCTAACCCTAACACTTTTGTAGCACCAGGCCATGCTTCCCCATTTCCTGACAGACGCCTCCTCTTCCCAGCTCTCTTACTCCAAGGTTTTCCGTACAATTTTTAGAAACCACTTAGTGGCCTCTGATCCCCTGAATCCCTTCCACTTCCTCCTGGTCTTGCTGTTCCCCCAGCCCCCATGCCCTAATACACAACCTCCAGGACCATTCCATGGGATTTGTGCACCTTTGACTGTTAACGCAGTTCTTGCACATCCAGTTTCTCACTGTCCCCTCCCAACACCCTTAGTGATAGTCCAGATAAGTCTCATGTTCACTATTATCCAAGGTGCAGCCTGAGTTTCAGAGAGGTGAATGACCCCAGGTGACTCAGCTGCGAGGAAAGGGGTCAGAACACAAGCTCCCGTCTTCCTTTTCCGGCTCCACAGTGGTCCCGGCATGCCAGACTCTGTTCAGCCTGGTATATTTTGGTGATCACTTGTTGTCATCTTGTTAGCGATGGGATCTTGAGCCACTGTTTGGAGCCTCAAGTTCCTTTTTGTGAAGAGTGGGGTTAAAAATAGCAGCCAGTTCTGAGGCTTCAGGTGAGGATTAAAGCTGTTAATGCAGGTAAAGAGGCTGGCACCTGCCCAGAAGGGCTCCTGCTGATAGGAAACCCTGACCCAGCCAGCTGGGCTTTCCTGAGCATGGCACTGCCTTCAGCTCGTCCAGGGACAGAGAGAGGATGGATGAAGTCTTGGCAGTTCATGGGAAAGGTCTTTATCTTGGGCCACCTAGAGCTCTGTCCAGCCAGACCCTTGACTTCCAGACTTCTGACCTGGAAATGAGTCTGTTCCCCTTTCTTCCCCTCCCATAGCCATGCAGAAACTGGTGGGGCACCTTGTACTTTCCCCACAGCCCCTCGACTCAGGCTGGGCTGAGGTTTCTCACAGGTCACTCTCTTGCAGGCCACAGTCCCAGCCCTGCTGCCCTGTCAGCCATGGAGAACCTGGTGGCCTATGCTGTCCGGAAGGGCCACTTGTCACCCATGTACGTTCAGCCATTTCTTGTGAAAGGCGAGAACTGCCTGGTCCCTTTGCAGAAGGGGAGTCCCAAGAAAGGTAAGACTTTCAACCCTTCTGGGCCTCCCTCCAGACTCACCCCCACTAGTTTCAAATGGCCACCAGGGGTGATCTTTTCCTTCAGGCTTTCATTGGATTCCTGCTGATAAACAACCGGTCACCCAACTGTCTGAAACTTTACTGCAGGCAAACCTTCAGCAGGGACCTCCAGGTCACCGCTTTGCCCCTCAGATTTCTGGAATGTTGGGGCCATGGCATCGGGCCTGGTGTGATACACGTGCTCATTCCTTCAATGATACATTCATTCCTTCAACCATTCAGCAGTTCTTTACTGAGCACCTGCTAGTCACTGAAGATGCACCAAGCCACAAAACACACAGAAGCAGTTTCATTTTCATGAAGTTTCAACCTAGAGGGTAGAGAAAGCCAATTAACAAATAAACAAGAAAGAATTTGGGGCGTCAGTTGGTGAAAAGTGCTGTGGAGGGAAAAAAGAAAACCATGGAGAGGGTAGGCATCTGACACGGACACTCGGCACAAACACACGTCTCTGGGTGCAAACCCTGGAACAGCACCAGCAGGCTGAGTGCTCGAGTCTCCCCTTCTGTTCATTTTAGAGGGGGAGTTTCACATCACTCAGGTAATAAAAGGTAGATAAAAAGTCAATTTCAAGTTCAATAAGCAGCAACATCAGAACCAGTCAGCTATGGAGGGCTCATTCTCCATAGTTAATAAGCACTTTCAACCTTTTATTGGACTTAATGAAGTTTTAAAATGTTTATCTCTGTTATATTAAATCTCTGAATAAATTTGATCTTTTCCTTTGGGTTTATACCATCTATCAATATTAATAATTGCCTACATTGATGAACAATTTTAGAGATTACAAGTGACTCCCAAAGACATACTTTCAAATGAAAATTTAAGTGAGTTCTCCAAAGGGGCCTGTTACACATTCTCTCTCTCTCTCTTCCTCTCTCATACAAGCACATATGCACAGACCAGCAGACAAGACTGTCATGAAGATAAATAAATACACTGTCCTTGGAATACAAAGATCCACGTCCCCTCAGAATCAACAGTCCCACTGTCCTTTGGGTTCTGATTTTGGGGTCAGAAGCAGTGGCTCTTTGGTTTCTGCCTCTTGAGCCCAACCTCTCTGTGCTGACACACCCGTTCCCAGGTAGGCCACTCCAAGAGCTGCTGGGATCTCCCAAGTTCTGGTCAGGATCAGGTCAGGATGCCCAGAGGGTGGTGGATGTGGGGAGATCCAGAGGATCACGTCGGCCTTTACTGGTGAGGTGGTTGACATGGATGGGCACAATCAGTCCTCATGTCCCTGTATTTTTGGCCCCATACAGCTTGCCCTGACATTGTATCTCGGTCTGCTTGGGAGGCCAGGGAGACCCATTGCCCCAAGATGACCCTCCCAGCTAAGTACGCCATCATCATCCACACCGCAGAGAGAACCTGCAACACATCTGAGGAATGCCGCAGACTCGTCCAAACTATGCAGTCTCTTCTTGTGGACAGATTTGACTCATGTGACATTCCGTATAAGTAAGTGAATCTGAGGACATGTGGGGTTCTGTCCCCTGGGGGCAGGTGCTGAACCTTTGAAAGGAAGGGAAAGGGGACTAATGTTTCCTGAGTGCCCACTGCACAAGAGGTCCCCCATGTGTAACCAGAGATTTCTCACACAACCCTGGGTGGGCCTTAGGGTATAGCTGGGGCGTAGTCATTCCCCCTGAGCATGTTTTCAAAATGTACGTCCTTTTTCAAGGTCGTATGTTGACATTATGGGGGCCAAGGGTCTGCTGAAAGATATTAGAGCATGCAAGATTGTGAAATCTACAGAAAGGATAACCTAAGGTTGTTTCTTTTTCCTCATAATTGCCTCCTACTACTCAGCGGCTCAGGTTCTGCCTTCAGTCGGCTGCAACCTAAGGTTCGTCTTCCTATCGTAGACTCATGCTATTTCTCTGCATCGGGAAGCTGTCAGCCTCCTCAGGTAGAATAGCTTTCACATTTGAAGGCAGGGGGCAGCCCACACAATATCTTCTGATTTCTCTAATGCCATAGTCTGCAATCCTTTTTTTGGGGGGGGGGTAGTGTGGATGTTTTTTATTAAATTTTTTTCTTTTCTCATTTATTCATAGTTGCCAAAATTTTAGGGTGGATAAAGAAATACCTTTTAAATTTTATTTATTTATTTATTTTTAGAGAAGGAAAGGGAGGGAGAAAGAGAAGGAGAGAAACATCTATATGTGGTTGCCTCTTGCGCACCCCCTACTGGAGACCTGGCCTGCAACCCAGGCATGTGCCCTGACTGGGAATCAAACCAGTGACCCTTTGGTTTGCAGGCAAGCACTCAATCCACTGAGACACACCAGCTGGGGCTTTTTAAAAAAAAAATTGTTGTTAAAATACCTTTAATAAAGAACACTAACCTGTGGGAAAGTAGAAGCTTCTTGAAGGATGCTCTCAGAGTTCACAGATACGGTTTCTGGAGGATGCTAGCAGGATAGGATCACACTAACTTGAGACAGGAGGGACAGGGTGAAGAGTGGGAATGGGGAGGCCCAGCCTTAGAGGAAGTGGGAGGGGCCATCTAATATCCCAACAGAAACAATCACACAAAATCTTGTTTTAGGCTGTGCCACCACTTGCCCAGTTGGCATATCTGTACATTAACCAAAGAAGCACTTCCTCTAAGGCATTCATGGCTTAGATAGTGGAGCTGGATTTCAGTCCCATCTGGTCCCCAGCCCAGCACCTCTGCGCGGGATGCAACACATACAGCGATGCAGTGCCCTGCCTTAGATGGAGTTACCAACACTTGCTGCTTGCTCCTGGGCTCACTGCCTCTCCTCCCCTCCCCATCTGGGTAGCAACCCATCCAGGAGAGAAGGAAACTTTTCCTCCAGCATCTATCATCTATCAGGACCTACTTGGTGCTTTGCCAGGTCTTGCTATTAGGATTATTTACAGCATTGCTCTGTTTAATTAGAGTGGATACCTGAAAATTGGCTATAAATTTTGAAATCCTAAACTGGAAAATAATAAGGGCTGAGGGAGGTCCTTTCCCTTTCCCTATTCATGTTTCGGAGAGCAGTTGACTGTCCCTTGGCTTATGACCTTTTATTATGTTTTCTGCATCAAAACTGCATGACTGTGCTATTTCCTTACCTTGAGATGGTCTGTGGTCAAGAGTAAACACCTATGCACTATAAATTAATCCACTGGGACATGATTAGGCGCCTCCTCTCTGTGGGCAGTGGGCTACGCTCTGTGGGTGTCACAAGGTATAGTACATGCCTTCATGGAGCTAATACTCTGGTGAAGGAGAAAGATAATTAAACAAATAAATTCTAATTGAGTACCTAAGTGTTATGAGAGGAAATACATGGAGTGTGAACAGGAGGCATTCTTAACTCTTGCTTAGGTTGCTTTTTTTGTTGTTATTTTAAAATTTTTTCATTGAATTTATTGGGGTGACATTGGTTAATAAAATTATATAGGTTTGAGGTGTACAGTTTTATAATACATCATTTGCATGTTGCATTGTGTGTTCACTACCCAAAGTCAAGTCTCCTTCCATCACCATTTATCCCCCCCTTTACCCTCTTCTACATCCACCTCCACCCCTTTCCCTTTGGTTGCTGGGAGAATGGGTGTGAGAGAAGTACTCCCTGAGGAGTAATGTGTTAGCCAGGACCTAGGGAGTGAGAGGAAGCTAGTCAGAGGAGGAAGGGGGAAAAGAAACTCTATGGAATGGCCTGGATGCCAGCTCGACCATGATGCCTTTGAGGAGCTGAGAGAAGTTTATCATGTTAAAAATAGATGCCAAAGGGGGTATATTGGGAGGAAAGGCTAGGGAAGAAAAAGGGCCATCCCATGAAGGATCTCGTAACGTAAGCTAGGGAGTTTGGGCTCTGTGCCAAGAGACTAAAAGTAGGGTTTGACTTAAGATTTGTATTAGAAAGGCCACTCGCTTCAAAGCTTCTGAAACAGAGTGCGAAGGACAAAGCTGGAGGTGGTAAGATGCACCTGAGGGCTTTGCAGCAATGCTGGCAAGACAGGATTGTGATGTGGCTGGGGGTGGCAGCTGTCATGGAGAGGTGGTGGAATCTAAGAGGTTAGTGGAAGATAGTGATCTATGCCAAGGATGAAGGGATTGACCAGAGAGAATGGTTGGGAAGACACAGTTGGCAAGTAGTTAATGAGTGGATGAAGTAGGTGGGCTGATGCCCATACACTTGGCTGGAGCCAATGGGAGGATGCATAGTGGCACCTTTTATCAAGATGGGGAGCCCAGAAGGAGGAACATGTGGGGAAGAACGTGGGTCCAGGTGTGGACATGTGGACTTTCCTGGATGGCAACTGAAGTGAAGGAAGTTGATGGGTTAGTCCTGGGAGAATGTGTGGAGGGAGAGGAGGAGATGGTGGAGGGCAGTGTCCTGAGGAAACCCTGCCATGTGCAGGAAAGGGCACATTAAGACAAGGTGCAGAGGAGTTTGAGGGGGAGCCGCTAGAGAAGATTGCCAGGAGAGTGTACTGCGATGGAAGCTAAGGGGAGAGGATGCTTGAAGAAAGTGAGAGGGGTCCTTAGTGTTAAATGCGCAGAGAGATCAGGAAAATGAAGATCAGAGAAATACACTTTGTATTTAGTTCTAAGGAGGTCATAGGTCACCATGGGGGAAAGAGTTTCATTGGCGAGGTGTGGGAAAGGCCAGGTTGCAGGGGTTGAAAGCTGTCACTTTTTTCTTTATAGCCTGAGAGCCATTTGGGGTAGTGGCATGCTCATTATTGAAGATTCAAGAATTTTGTGAGCCAGTTGTTCAGTCATTGGTAGTTTGCATCGACTGAGGTAGAAGTTTTACACTACAGAGATCAGTAAACAAATCAGGGCTTCCTGCCCGCCCACTGCTTATGAAAGTCGGTTGACCAGCAAGCCACTGGCAAGGACTCTTTTTTTTGAAATCAGTGAATTTAATAGCTAGTCAATGTCTAATGAGTACATGAATGAATGAATGAAACAATCCCATACTGCCTCACTTTCATGCTGATCTCTATCTTTCTTCTTGGTCCTTTAGCTTCCTTGTGGGTCAAGATGGTGCCATTTATGAAGGAGTGGGCTGGAATGTCCAAGGCTCCCGAAATCCTGGCTACAATGACATTGCCTTGGGCATTGCCTTCATGGGCACCTTCTCAGGTAAGTGGAGGCTTTGAGCAGCATTGGTCATTGTATCATGTTTGAAGGACATCATGGACAATGATGCAGACTCAGGTGTCATTTCAGTGGCTGCATTTGCTGGATTTTTCCAGCTTCAAATTTGACTTTTTATTAAATTGTCCAGAAGTGACCCCTACACAGAATGGCCACTGTAAGTCTACTTTCTTTATACCCAATCAGATGTCTCTCTCCCAACATCCAAAGCACATGTAAGATGAAGAAGAAAACTCTTTGAGCATATTTTTCCTAAGTTACTCCACAGAAAGAATGTGAGGACACTTGCCTTACTTGTCACAGCCACGGATAAGCCCCTGTCTCTGTATCCAGAATGCACACTGAGAATTGTCATTGCTCAGGTCTCTTGACCAGAGTTTGTTTAGACTGGAGGGGGTCTGCTGCTGAACCTTGGCAAGGAGAGGCCATGCCCCTCAGGCTGGTTCAGGCTGATATTAAAATGGGTGTTTGGCTGGGACAAAGGGTGACCAGGAATGTGCCTAGAGATGGAGCTGGACAAGGGACGGGTACAGTAAGCACAAATTTGCCTAAGGAAAATTTCTCGAACTTGGCACTATTGATGTTCCAGGTCAGATAATTCTTTGGTGTGGGGCTGTCCTGTGCATTGCAGGGTGTTTGGCAGCATCCCTGGCCTCTACCCACCAGATGCCTGGAACATCCTTCCTTTAGTTGTGACAACCACAAATATCTGCAGACATTGCTACATATCCCCTGGGGAGCTAAATTGCCCCTAGTAGAGAACTACCAGGCTAAACTTTTGCAGTGAATAAAGGTTTTTTGAATGGGTCATTGGATATTTTATTCTACACTCTACTGGTTTGATTCAGAAATAACTTTGGTGCTGAAGCTTTAACTCAATTTTCTGTCTGCCTGTCTAGGGTGGCTGGCAATAGTGGGTATGCTAGCTTGGTGGTGGGTGTGGGTTAGCGGGTATCCAGGCATGTGTCCTGCTCTGGGTAGGGTGGCCTGGAATTCTATAACTGATGGGTTGTCTGTGTATTGCAGGTACCCCACCCAATGCTGCAGCACTGGAGGCAGCTCAGACCCTGATCCAGTGTGCAGTGGACAAGGGGTACCTGACTCCCGACTACCTGCTGGTGGGACAGAGTGATATTGTCAACACTCTCTCTCCTGGCAAGGCTTTGTACAACATCATCAGCACCTGGCCCCACTTCAAACAGTGAGCGGGGGCAGATCCCTGCTCCCTTGGAGACTGCTCTGCCAACTTCCTCCACAAGCTCGAAGCCATCCCGTCCTCACATTCCACCTCGGCTCAACACCTCGTGTCCGCCCCCCAGGGAGTCCTGCCATGTCTCTCCTGTCTTAGAGGGTTGGGATGACCACTGAGTGTGGGCCCAGCCTTCCCCTGTCCTTACCTTTCTCTCCTCTTCGTACCCACCTCCCCAGCCTACTGGGATTGGGCTGAGTGAAGACCCAGAGTCATGGGGCTCTGCAGCCCTCCCTGCCTGGGCTCTTCCATCTGTTATTGGAAAGACAGAAATATTTGTGGTTTTTCCCCCCCGGCTCTTAGTTTGGAAGAAAGGAGAGGAAAGAAAGAGAAAAACAGATGGAACCAATAAAAGGGGAAAATGTATATGAAAAGGAGTAGATTGGGAACAGAGCTGTATTAGTTCTCTTCTCCTATCACATGTCTGCTTCCCTATCTCCGGGGATATCCTCACACGGTTTCTCTCAACTCTACCCCCACCACTTCCTCCTGTCCAAATACTCCCCTCTAAGTGAGCAGCACTTTAAGCTGTATGTCTGCTTCTTGATTTGCCTGGATTATAAACTGTAATCCAGGCAAATGGATTACTGTGGGCAGTGACTAATGGACTGGCAAGAGTAAAATCAGATCATTGATGTCCCTTTGAATGCTCATCAAAGGTATTTGTTCCTGAATGGAGTCATAATAATCAGGTAGATAAGATGATTGCAGTCAGTCTATTTTACTAACCACATGGGTACTTGCTCAAGGGACCCATGTAAAAAGTGACCCTGTGGCAGAGATGAAGGCAATGCCTGGGCCCAACCACAATGTATTTCCCCATCACAAAACCAAGCTGGCCACCCTGCCCATAGCAGAGGCCATTGATGAGTTGCCAACTAGCACTACTACCTGGGAGATCCAGCCACAATCTTGCAGCAGGCTGACTACTTTGTGGTGGGGTTAGTCACTTGTCCTCCCTAGAACAGGTACTTGAGGGGGATATGCCACCTTGCACACAGTGCTTCTGGCACCACCAGCTGTGAAATTCTAGAATGCCTTATTCACACTCCTGGTGTCTCACAGCATTGTTTCTGACAGATACACCATCGACAGCAAAGCAGGCATGGTGGAGGATGGTAGCCCCAGCAGAGATTTTGAATACTTCCCTGCCTCCAATAAAAAGACACACAGTAACAAGGTTAGCGAAAGAAACAAAAATCCACAAGCAAAATCAACACACCTAGGTGATGGTCTCCTCACAGACCCCAAATTCGAGCGAATGGGAACCAACCACCAACTGCCATAGATCTATACCTTTTTGGCATCTGTGCAAGAGGAAGCAGAGGGAGACAGCAGGGTGCCTGGTGGATCTGGGACTTCAAATGACCAAGATGAACTTACCTAAAGTTTAGACAGCCCAGCAGCTAACACCAGAGAGGTTTACACTCCCCAAATGTGTGTAAACACAGAGTTTATGGTGATATCTGTGGGACCTGGAGCAGTCTGGGTCCCATGATTCTCAAAAAAGCAGCCAAAGTTCCATCTTGAATAAAGTCTCAAAGAGGAGAGCATCTGGAACAGACTCTAAGGTCATAGATCAGAGATACAAAAGAAAAAAAGGTTCAGATAAGAGGGAGGAAAGGGAGTCCAGCTGTGAATAGAAGCCACCAATCTTTGAACACTTGCCGGACAAGAATGAGGAACAGGGAGCCCTAGAGGGATGTGATTAGAAAAGCTATTCAAAAGCAAACCCTTTAAAGGTTCAGGGAAACTAATTTGATATAAAATAAGCAACAGAAAACAATTAAGGTTTAATATCATTTAAGTTATTATAAGAAAAAGAGGCATAGATGAGGTTGTGAGGGTCGGCCCTCATGATAGGACTAGTGTTCTCACTGGAAGGGGCATCAGGGAGCTCTGTCCCTCTCCCCATTGTGTGAGGACACAGTGAGAAGACAGCTGTCTACCTCCAGGAAAAGGGTTAGCACCAGAACCTGACCCTGCTGGTACCTGGATCTTAGACCACCAGCCTCCAGAACCATGAGAAAAATAAATTTATATATATTTTTTGCAAAGTCACTCTGTTTGTGATATTTTGTTATGGCAGCCTGAGCTAAGACACCAGTACATCTTTATTTAAAAAATTTTTTTGATCTCCAGGTTTTAAAATGATAATGACTGGTTTCATTGAAATCCAAAATGAAAAATAACATGCAGGCCCAATAAAATGTGTTTTTTTAGCTGTCAGGGTCACCCTCTGCCCTGTAGGGTAGTTGTTGGTGGGCTGGTCTAGTCTTCCCCCTTCTGGCTCTGAGCTCCTTAGGGCAGAGACCCTGTTTTGCTTACTCAATATCAGGCTCAAGGTAGCTCAGTAAATGCTTGTGATTTCTGAGTTCATTTCAAATATTGTCCTCCCTGCTCACTTGCCCACCCCCGGACCTGCCTCCTTGGTGGAGACTCCTCAAGGTTCCCTTAACACTGTGCCTCCTTCTGTTAGGCTGGACTGCTTAGCCCCCTGCTTTATGGTTGTTTATATCTCTGCATCGTCCCCAAATTAGAGGTGTTATTCATGGCTCTACCCTCAGTGCTAGGCAGTGCACGGCTTGCAGTATGTGCTGAAAGAGTAATTATTAAACAAAAGCATAAACGAGCAAACTAATAAATGAATGAACATTAGGTTTGTGCACCACTGCCCTGTGATTTTGCTCAGAGCCATTGACTGATTATATAAAACTACATAATATATGTTACATAGTGTATAATATAACATGATAATCATAACTCATTCCATATGATGGTTTTGGTTCAAGTGGCAAATAAGACAGGGGGAGGAGAGAAGAGGAAAAGAAAGAAGGAGTGTGGCAGAGGGAGGTGGACCAACAAATGGGGATCCCACATGTACTGTGGGCAACCAGAGAGCAGAGTTCTCACTGCGGAATCTCACTTCATTGATGGGGCCCATGTCTCTGAGGCCGTAGTGGGCAGATGATTATTCTAACCTCTGCAGAGCTGAGGGGTTTGAATTTCTCACCCTGAGCCTGACACACAGAATTGCCTGCCCCAACTTGCCTCTTCATTGTAACTAAGGCCCCCAGTTAAGAATGAGGGGACACAAAGCGTAGGTTCTTCCCCTCAGGGTTGCTACTCATCAGAGAGGGAGACAGTTCTGTGAGTGCATAAATAGAGGTAACTGTCTGGATTTTGGTGCTGAGCAGTCACTGGGAGAAAGCTGAGCATTCACTGTCTACCCACTGCCCATGTCTCTGGTGCATGAGGTCTCAGCATATTCTTCATGGCCCAAAGGTATCTTCAGACCATGGTCTTACCCTTTGGGCTCAGACCAGGCAAGACTTGATCATCCTTCTGGCCTCTAGGCTGCTTCACACTGAGAACACTTCAGTTATCTTGATTCCTTCAATCTTTTCCATTCTAAATGCTTTCCCCTGATGTCGTCTCAGCTGTCCCTGGTCATCATATCTGTGGACTACCTCACCTCCCAAATTGAGAACGCTTTTATATTCCCAGTCTCTTCTACTTCTAACACTTCCAATTTCCCCAACATTGTACTACTTGCTGAGAGCAGGCAGGAAGCCACAGGGTTGTGGCTTAATAGCCTATTTAATACCCTCAATTCCAACCTTAAAAACCTATTTCTGGTTTTCCAGTTCCTCCTTGTGATTCACTGCACTTGTACATCACTTTACAGAGAATATGAACTTCCACATTCTACCTTATTGTCATAACAATTGTTGGTGTCTGCTCCCGTGTCCCACCTTCTATTATTAACTCATTGAAAGTGAATTCATTCATTCTCTTCTTACTTCTCCTCGGGTAATAAACTTCACATAAAGTAAACTCCTGATAAATGTGTACAGAATAGTTGAATAAATAAAATGGTTTTAATTTGAAGATATGGTGTAGCCAGGAATACAATAATACTATAAATACATACGGAACACTTAAAAGTTCTAAAAAAAACCTAAAAAATTTCTAGCAAATTCTGTGGTTCCTTTCCTCTGAAACCTTTAAATTTGGTAGTAAATAAAAAAGCTGAAATATTTTTTCATGCTCCTGATATTTTTTATATTGTCCAAGAGCTTATAGCTACTTTTCAACATCAGTGAAACATGGAGTATATTGAAGAGAGATTTAACAAAAGTAGTTTAAAAGCTTCATCTAATATGTGATGTAAAAATCAAATCAATGCCTTTAATAAAGATATATTCCAGAACTGAGCATAAGGTACAATATGTTTTAAAATCACCATTTTAAAATTTATTTGCTTAGTACTAAGTTGGCATAATGTTTAGTAAAGTTATTATTATTGTTAATAATATATTTTATTGATTATGCTATTACCGTTGTCCCATTTCCCCCCCTTCACTCCCCTCTCCCCTGCACATCCCCTCCCACCCACATTCCCCCTCTTTAGTTCATGTCCATGGGCCATACATATAAGTTCTTTGGCTTCTCCATTTCCTATACTATTTTACCCTCCCCCTGTTTATTTTCTAACTACCATTTACGCTACTGTACCTTGTCCTCCTGTCTCCCTCTCCCACTCCCCTGTTGCTAATCCTCTATGTGATCTTCTTTCTATGTTTCTGTTTCTGTTCTAGTTGTTTGCTTAGTTTGCTTTTGTTTTTGCTTTAGGTGCGGTTGTTAATAACTGTGAGTTTACTGTCATTTTACTGGTCATATTTTTATCTTCTTTTTCTTAGGTAAATCCCTTTAACATTTTATATAATAAGGGCTTGGTGATGATGAACTCCTTTAACTGGATCTTATCTGAGAAGCACTTTTTCTGTCCTTCCATTCTAAATGAAAGCTTTGCTGGATTGAGCAATCTTGGATGTAGGTCCTCATGTTTCATGACTTGAAATACTTCTTTCCAGCCCCTTTGCTTATAAGAGACATATATTGAGAAATCAGCTGACAGTCTGATGGGAACTCCTTTGTAGGTAACTACCTTCTTATCTCTTGCTGCTTCTAGGATTCTCTCCTTATTTTTAATCTTGGGTAAAGTAATTATGATGTGCCTTGGTGTGTTCCTCTTTGGGTCCACCTTTGGGACTCTCTGAGCTTCCTGGATTTCCTGGAAGTCTATTTCCTTTGCCAGAATGGGGGAGTTCTCCTTCATTATTTTTTCAAATAAGTTGTTCATTTCTTGCTCTTCCTCTTTTCTTTCTGGTACCCCTATAATTCAGATGTTGGAATGTTTAAAGATGTCCTGGAGGTCCTAAGCCTCTCATTATTTTTCTGAATTCTTGTTTCTTCATTCTTTTCTGGTTGGATGTTTCTTTCTTCCTTCTGGTCCACACTGTTGATTAGAGTCCCAGTTTCCTTTCCATCACTATTTTTTTCCTGTACATTTTTCTTTATTTCACTTAGCATAGTCTTAATTTTTCATCTAATTTGTGACCAAATTCAACCAATTTTTTGAGCATCCTGATTACCAGTGTTTTGAACTGTGCATCTGATAGGCTGGCTACCTCTTTGTTGTTTAGTTGTATTTTTTCTGGAGCTTTGATCTGTTCTTTTGTTTGGGCCATTTTTTTTTTGTCTTGATGAGCCTGACACATAGTGAGTGGTGGAACCTTAGGTGTTCACCAGGACGGGGCAACTGAGTCGCTGGGTTGTAACGCTGTATGTGGGGGCGGGCTCAGAGAGGGAACCAGGGTGTTCGCTTCGCTCTCTCTCTGATTTTAGTCCCTTCTGCTGTTTCCCATAAGCAAATTGAACCCTTCTGGTGCTGGTTCCCTGGTGGGTGGGTTTGTGTACATTCTAGGACCCTGTGGGTCTCTCCAACAAACTCCCCTGTGAGGCTGGGAGTCTCTCCTGGCACCTCAACATCCACAAGTGTTTTCAATTGGTGCTTTTAGGCTTTATTTCCCAGTGCTGGGGCCCTGAGTTGCACAGTCTGTCTTGCTGCCCATTTTCGCCTGGTTTATCTGTGTGGGTGAATGTGTGACTGTTCAGCCAGCCGCCTTGCGCACCTCACTGGGTCTGCTCATTGCCTCCTCACACTCAGGGTCTGCCAGCTGCCGCCTGCGTGCCTGGGGTCTGCCAACTGCCTGAGCACCTGGGTCCAGCCACTGCTTTTTCCTGCCGTGACCCCTCTCCGCCAGCCGCTGACTCCACCCCTCTTACCGGTCTGGATGAATGGTCATTGGACTTCCATACAGTTCAATTTTCTGTGAGTTCTGTTTTTTTTTCTTTTTTCCTAAATTTTCGTTGTCCTTAATTTTGGTTGTGTGAGGAGGCACAGTGTGTCCACCTATGCCTCATCTTGGCTGGAAGTCCTAGTTATCAATTTTTAAGAAAACGAGATATTGGATCAAGTGTCAAAATTACCACAATGAGTTTTGTTTTCATGAAAGCAAAGCAACTGCATAAGAAATAGTACTTCCGTGACTTTGAGTTCTTAATTATTGTAGTTAAAAATTTAATCATTCAAATGATTAAACTTCACGTTTAATCATTTGATTTATGTGACTTAGAGAAAGTGACTACTTATTATAATTGTTTTTTTCTGAGAAATCAGTGACTACAATTTTTAACTGTGAAAGGAACACCTTTTCTAATTCTCTTTTTAAGAGAGTTCCATATGAGCCCATATGAGCCAGCAGCGGCCTTGCCCCTGTGGTTGGCCCCCAGGCTATTTAGTCAGGGACCCTCGGTCATACCTATTCTTTCCCTTTTTGAGCTGCCACCACTCCCTTATCACTTGGATTTTCTTCTTTTACAAGTCGTTAAGTTCAGAGTGAGACCCTCTCCTTAGTTCTCTCTAACTTGCTGTTTCAAAGACAAGCTCATTCTCCTTTTAAGTGTTTTTCTACTAATCACAACAGAAAACATCAAGAGTCATAAATAAAATTTCAGGTATGAGGACTGTCAACCAATGCTTGGTGCCAATTCAATGCTAACAGGAATACCCAATTTGAGGTACAGTGAAGAAGGAAACTTTATTCAGTTCAAAACAGCTCAATGGTAATTTAGATACAGCAGGGTTGTGAAAACCCAGGTCCCACGGGCACCC